TGATGATTATTATATTGGGTACACCTGATGGGAGATTGCACAGGTACCACTACTTTCAAACTCTTATGAACTTTTCTGCTGCACAATGGCTCTTCAATAACTTTGCCTATTGAAGGTAAAGTGTAATTAGTATAATCTTAATGTTTAGCAAAGTGTATATGTCATCAAATTCAAGTTCTGGTTTTCAAATTTAAGTCTGTATGAATACAAAAGGACTAAGAAATTCTGCAAATACTATTTATATAAACACAAGAACAGCATTCCAGTACATTGACATTTTCATATTATGCGCAAGTAACATTCCACCAAATACCACAACACATACCATATAGAAATTGTGAGCACTGGATATAGCCCTCCTCCATTTCCTCACATTTATCAGCTGCAGTCTGCAGATCACTGTAGGTTGTAGCAAATACTGCTGCCCCAGATTCAACAAGGAATTTGCAAACTTGCACATTATTACAGGAGGCTGCACAATGCAAAGGGGTCCTAAAGAAGGAAATCGAAAGTTAGTGGCATTTAGTAAAATCAAACATGTTTTAAAGATTCATTTTTGTCACAAGCTTTTGCTCAATCTGGAAGAATAGGAAGGTTGGTCAGGGTTCTTACCACAGCCATCATGAACAGCAACTGGAATCATCAGGTGAGACATATTGAATTATTCCTAATCAGAGTGATGCACAGAGTGCCCATTGTGCATAGGGTGGCTCGATCCAATTAATGCTACTCTCCTGCTTTTTATCCCCAATAGCCCTGAAAGAAAACTTCATGTATATACCCAATTTCTTTTTCAATGTTATCGTTGAATCTACTTCCACCATACTGCCATTCATTCCAGATCACCTCATTGAAACATTACTTCAAAATTCCTTCTGGTCTGAAACATAAGAGGACACTACTACCTTATTCTTTTTCACCCTTTGTCAATTTTATATCAGGTCACTGACTCTTTAATTACAATGTTTTAAATTGCCAATCATCTGGTACTTCAGTCCACGTATACCATGGAGAACCACCTTGCTCTGATTAATCCTTTCAGTTGCTTCAAATGAATTCTATCAAGCCGCTCAAACACAATTTGCCTCTGGCAAAACTTGACGGCTTTTATTTTCAGACTTTGCCCTGGATGATCTCTGAAAGTTTCCCATTCACTGATGTTAGGCTGACTGACAGGTCATTGCTAGGTTTACCTCCTGTTTTTGAACAGGGACTTAACATTTAAAATCCTCTACTGGCTTGGCAACATTCTCAAATTCAAGAAAAACTCGAAGATTGTTACTAGAGACCTTGCAATCACTACCCTTACGTCTCTCACATACCTAGGATGGATCCAATCGGATTCTTCCACCTTCATTTTTGTTCGTGGGATATAGATATTGTTGGCTAAGCCAGGATTTATTGGCCATCCCTATATTTCTGCAGGAAGGTGAACTATCTTCTTGAATCACTGTAGTTCTTGTGATATAGGGATACCAACAATGTTGTTAGGGAGGGAATTTCAGGATTTTGACCCAGCAACCAAAGAGAATGGCAACACATTTCCAAGGCAGGATAGTGTGTGAATTGGAAGGGAACTTGCTGGTGGTGGTGTTCCCATGCACTGGATTATCTTTATGCTTCACATGGCAGAGATTGCAGGTTTCGAAAGGTGCCTTTGAAGGTGCATCTTGTAGATGGTACACACTAATGTAATGTATCGGTGGTGGAGGGATTAAATGCTTGTAAGGTGCCAATTAGGGTGCTGCTTTGTCCTGGATAGCGTGAAGCTTCGAGTGTTGTTGGAGCTGCACTCATCCAGGCAAGTGGGGAGAATGTGATCATACTCCTGACTTGTACCTTGTAGATGGTGAACAGACTTTGTGGAGTTAGGAGGAGTGTTACTTCTGACCTGCTCTCGACCACGATACTTATATAGCTAGTCCAGTTACGTCTTTATGAGAGCAAACAATAATGTCGATGTACCAGTAAAGGAGGAGACAGTTGGTACACTGGATAGGATAAACAAAGAAAGGAGCGCTTAAAAGATTGGTCACCCTATGGCCAAACACTTTCAGCTGTTTCAACTTGCCTCCATCAGAAGGTCTGAAGTTGATTGTTACAGTTTGGGTGTAGACATGTTCAACTCTTGATAAGACTTTAAAGTATTCATTTAATATTCAGCACTGTTCTCTGTATCCACAAGTGATCTTCTTTCAGATCCCTAACCACCCTACTCTTCTTGTGACAATCTTTTTACTGTATTGCAAATTATGAGAGACTTTTGGAGTTTCTTTTGTGTTAGTCCGATAATCTATTTAATAGTCTACCTTGCTCCTTTTATCCTTTTTTTTGATCTAACCCTGCACTTCATTTATTCAGCTTGGTAATAATCTGACCAGTGTCTCGTCAGTTCTTCATAGCGAATTATATGCAATCTCCAAATCCCAAACATATGGCGTCATGCTCCTATATTAAGCTTTTTTTGCCATGTCAGAATCTGTACTGTATAACTTTGACTATGAGATCACTTACTTTAACCTAATTTGAATATTTTTCGTTAATATTTTTATGAGTGCAAATATATCTACGTTTAGGCTACACTGTATTTTTCTTACAAGTCAAGACAAAGTAGGGGTTTGTCCTTGAAGTTACAGAGCATAGAAACTTAAACTGCTATTTAAAGGTGATTCAGTAATTAACTGCAGAAGACAGTACTTCAAGACAAAAGAATAGGCTTTTAGCTTCACAACATTTGAACAATTCCATTTCAATAGAAAACCTGTCGGAGTAACGGAAGAGCACACATCCTTGCAAAGAACAAGTGGAACTGGAACTCTTAAGTACACTTGTAATACAGCCGATTAACCGAATGGTGTGTGTTTTGGACAAACATAAAACTTTGTGAAAAGCATGCAACTAATGAGCTCAAATGTTGGTGGTTTTTATTTTCTCCCCCAAAATGAGAATCAAAAAGTTTACATGATTAAATTAAATACTCCACAATTTTTGACAATGTACACTGAAAATAAGGCAGCCTTAGGTACACAGGTTAAATTACAATTTTAGAGAAACAAGCTTTTAGTTCTCCTACCAAATTTGACGTGCATACCGAGGAACAAATCTAAAAAAAGTACAACTGTGGATCCATTGGAAAAATCAACTTTTAAGCATCAACAGTTGGCGTCTATGCATCTAACTATTAAAATGTGGGTTTTATTATCCGGAATTGTTTAATAGTAGAAACAGGCATTTAAACCATGTTACATGTTTTCTCAAAATGTTAATAGTGCATAAAAATTACTTACGTACATTTTCAACAACGAACAGACATCACGAATGTGTCAGGAGACGACTTGATTAACAAGGAAAAAATTTGTGTTGTCTTTGTTCAGTAAATCTGACTATGAATCTATTTATGAAACAAGGCCACCATCTGTTCATAATGGTCAATTTTGCATCAATTGTAACCATAAAACGAATGGGACGTGTGAGAGAATAACTAAAGGAAAACTCCAATCGTATGCAATAACTGAAAGAACTATTTTCCCCAAGTTTATTTCATGAACCATATTCTGTAGGATTATCTTGAAACACGACCTATTGTCGAGGAATTCGATGCAATTCTGTTAAGCTATTGAGTTCTGTGAGAAGTAAGAATTTTGAGAAACGGTCCCTCAATTCATTGAAAAAACATCCACCAGTTATTGCACAAAAAGTTGCTAATATGCATTTGGAATTAAATAACCATGTGACTCAACAAACTTCAACCATATTTATGTTGCAACTCACCATCCATCACTATCTGCTGCATTAACATTCACCCCAAACTGTACTAAGAACTTCACAATTTCTGTGTGACCTGCACAGACAGCATTATGTAGGGCTGTAATTCCTTCATCATTTGGTTGGCTAGGATCCTCCACCTGTATAAAAAAACCCCAGCAGATTACAAACAATAATGGGCTGATTTTTTAAACCATTCATGAAAAAAAAAAACTGGCAGATGGTACAACCACTTCCCTTAATAACAAATGCAGTGTTGCTAGGTTACATACATGACATCTAGAACAATTTCCAATACTATTCAACCAAAAGTTAGAGACATCTGCCTTGTCCAGATACAGAATTCTTGAAATAAATTGGAAATAAAGTCAATACTCAGCAACTGTTTTCCGAGTCCTTTAATATTTTGAAAATCCACTCTGAAAAACTGGCATGTAGTTTACAGTTTCTCCAAAAATTAAAGCAATTATGTGCTTTAAGTTCATTTAAAATCGAATTGCCCACACTGCTGCTTATTCTGTCAAGTAGGGGTAAAAGATTCACATGCAAATAATGCTTGGTGGAAAATTATCAAGCATAAAATATAAAGAATGGGCTGAGTTCTTCCAGCCCTTTGTGGACACAGTGAGAGGCTGCAAAATATCATGGGTAGGAGTGAAGCTTCCATCACCTTTCTGCTACCATTACATTTCACCAGCAGCAAGAAAGTGGAGATGGCTGCCCTTACGGCCTCTTCCTGCTGTTGTTGGCACATTACAAATGGTGGTTGAGCTGTCCAAAGGTCAGGAGACCATCATTAACTGTGGTGGTTCAGGCTTCGGGTCTCTTCTGGCATCTTTAGTTCACAGAAGATTCTATGGCAACAGTCTGACATGCCTTCAGTAACACCCTCTGCCCTGTCTTGTTTGGTTGGGGGGGGCAGGGGGATGGCATTTTTCTTTGGCATCCTCCACTTCAAGGTGCAGTCCCAGCAATGACCTCAGGCTCTGGCAGTGATGCCAAAACTGTTAATCTGCCAACTTTGTCATTAGCCAGCAGTTCCAAGGAGTGGGCAGTTGCCCTTTAAAGGAATAGCTGGGACAGGAACTAAATAAATTACCCGAAGGGTAGAGTTAAGGTTGTGGACCCTTCGCATTTGCCCCCACACCCTCTGTCATAACCGCAACTTTGCAGCCACTAAGCAGAACTCCTCCACCCTAAGAATAAAAGAAAGCCCTTTTCCTGGATTTCATTTCAAATTGTCCCAGGTCCAGTAAAACTAGATGAAATAAAAATTTAAACACACTTTACATCAAGTAACAAAGATCCTAACATACCTCATAAATGATGCGCTGGACTAAATCAAATTCACCCTCCAGAGAAGAATCAAGCAATAGCGCTAGAGGATTGAACTTAACCCTCATTCCATGACCAATGCGTTCCGAGCCCAACTTTTTCAGATTTGTCCTCTTTCCCTAAAATCAACAAAAAATAAAATAAATATTGGGACATGAACAACTAAGCAATGAACTATACTGTTGCCCAAAAGATCTAGTGCAAGGCATAATATTGGATGCTTAGCAATAACCAAAAGCACAAGTAAGGGTCACTGAGGAGCTTTTCTTTATTTCCTTAGGGGATATGGGCTTTGCTGGCTGGGCCAACCACAGTTGCCTATCCCTTGTTGCCCTTCAGATAGTTGTGGTGATGGTGAGCTGCCTTTCTGAACTGCTGTAGTTCATTTGGTGTAGATACACCCACAGTGCTATTAGGGAAGGAGTTCCAGGATTTTGATTCAGTAAAGGTGAAGGAATGGTGATATATTCCCAAGTCAGGATGGTGAGTGCCTTGGAGGGAACTTGTAAATTTTCCCATGTAACTGCTGTCCTGTCTTCCTAGATGGGAATGGTTGTGGATTCTGAAGGTGCTGTCTGAACAATCCTTGGTAAATTTTTGCAGTGCATATGTGCCAGTGGTTGAGCGAGTGATTGTTTTTGGAAATGATGTCAAGCAAGCAACTTTTTCCTGGATGTTGTCAAGCTTCTTCAGTTTTGTTGGAGCTGTACTAAGTCCATCACACTCTTCTCTTGGAGATGGTGGACAGGCTTTGGGGAATCAAGAGATGAAGGATTGAGAGCCTGTGACCTGTTCTTTTGGCTACAGTATTTATATGCTTAGTCCAGTTTAGTTTCTACTCAATGTTAACCCCAGGATGTTGATGGTGTGGGATTCTGCAATGGTAATGTCATTGAATGTTAAGGGGCACTGGTTAGATTCTCTATGGTTGGTAATGGTCATTGTCTAGTACTTGTATGGCACCATTATTTGCCACATTACTGTCCAAGCCTAGATGTGTCCTGGGTTCCTGCATTTGGGCATGGTCTGCTTTAGTATCTGAGGTGTTATGAATGTGTAATGTTTAGGACCAATCATCAGCTAACATCACCATATCTGATCTTATAACAGAGAGAAAGTTATCAATTAAGCAGCTGAAGATGATTTAGTCCAGGAAAACTACCCTGAGGCTCTCCTGCAGAGATGACCTTAAGCTGAAATGACTGGTCTCCAAAAGACACAACCATCTTCCTTTGTGTTGGGTATGACTCCAACTAGCAGAATGTTTTCCCCCAAATTCCCACTGACACTAATTTTGCTAGTGTCCATTGACGCTGCAGTCAGTCAAATGAGGCCTTCATGTCAGGGGCGATCATTCTCACTTCCCCTCCCTTTTGTTCATTTACGAACAGAGACTATGAGGTCAGGAGCCATGTGGCCCTGGCAGAAATCAAACTGACCATTACTGAGCTGGTAATTAAGTCCATCCTGCTTGATAGGACATAACTGGAAAAATTTCCACATTGTCAGGTAGTATCAGCAACATAGCTGTACTGTAACAAGATGACTAGGACATGACAGGTTCTGAGCAGAAATCCTCAATCCTTTTGTCAGAATATTGTCAGAGCCTATAGCTCTAGAGGACGCTGAAACTGATCACCCACTCAGCACTTCCGGCTTGACATTTGGTACAAATTCTTCAGTCTTTTCTTTTGCACTTATGTGCTGGGGTTACCCATAAATTGGGATGGGGTTATTCATAGAGCCTTCCCTCCAGTGAGTTGTATAATTCTCCACAACAATTTATGACTGAATATTGCAAAACTGGCGAGCTAAGATCTCATCTGTTGGTTGTGGAATCATTTAGCCCTGCCCAGAACTTGTTGCTTATGCTGTTTGCCACACAAGTAGATGTATGCTGCATCTTCACCAGACTAACACCTTACGTTCACATATGCCTGGTACTGGTCCTGGGATGCTCGTGTGCACCCTTCATTGAAGCAGGATAGATTCCCTAACTTGGTAACACTAGAGTGGGGATATGCGGTTGCAGACTGTCTCAGTGCAAATCTGCACAAAGCAGGTTGCCCACAACGCTTCATGAACATTTAGTTTTGAGTTGCTTAATCTATTCAAAATGTATCCCATCTAGCAGGATGTTATTGCCACACCGCACATTCATGTGTATCCATAATGGGAAGATAATGCTTCATCTCCACAAGGACGGTATGATGGTCAGTCTTACCAAAACTGTTAAGGACAGTTGTGTCTGTGGCAGAAAAATTGGTGATGAGGCCGAGTACGTATTTCTCGCTTGTTGGTGCCTTCACCATTTGCTGCACATCCAGTCTAACAGCAATGCCCTTTAGAACTCTTACCAGCTCCATCACTATTGGTGCTGCTAAGCCACTCTCAGCGATGGTCATGGAAGTTGTCAACCCAAAGTACATTCTGCATCCTTGCCACTGTCAGTGCCTCCTCCAACTGGTGCTCAACACAAAGGAGCACTCAATCATTAATACAGGAAAGGTGGGCAAGTGGCAAGTGCAAAGATGTAATTGGAAAAAGGTTTCCTTACACGTCTTAGACCTGATGACATGAGACTGGATGGGGTCCAGAGTCAATGTTGATGATGCCAAGGGTAACTCCATCCTGACTGTATACCATTACACCTTTGCTGGGATGGTGATGATGCTGTCTAGGACAGTCAGTCAATCTTTCTCAATGGAACCATAGTTTGTACTGAATAGCAGAACACTGCTTGACTAATTAGTCGGAGAGATAGTTCTCTCAATTTTAGTACTAGCTGCCAGAAGTAAGGAAAGGCAACTATGCAGGGTTGACAGGACTATATCTGTTGTCGTCATTTCCGGTGACGAAGTCAACGTCAGGTGGTCTGTCGAGCTTCTTTTTTTTGACTTGTAGCAATTGTTACAATTGAATGGCTTTCTAGGCCATTTCAAAGGGCAGCTGAAAGTCAACCACACTGTTGGGAATCTAGAATCACATGTGGGCAGACCAGGTATTTCCTTCTGATAGAACTTGAATGTATCAGATTTTTTTTAAAATTAAATTTTTGTTTAATTCCAGATTTTTTTCAAATTCAAATTTCACCATCTGCCACGGTGGGATTTGAATCCAAATTGTTAGAGCATTACCTGAGTCTCTGGATTACAAGTCCATTAATGATACCGCTGTGCCATTGTATGCCCAATCTTGCCCAAATAGCTCAAGAAACTCACATTCGAAAATTGAGCCATATAGGTTAGTGAGGTCTGAATAGACTTTTGGTCTGAGTTAGGATTGGCAACGAAAGAATGCACCTTATAAGCCCAAATTTAAAAGGGGTAAACAATCTGCCAGGGTATTTACAAATGCAATCACTATTCAGTGATCACTGCTGGAAGAGAGTGTGGGAGGTGTAGGACTCATCCAATATTGCATATGATTTGATTTGACTGTGATGTTGTCATATAATGCTTTCATTCTCTACTTTGGTCAGCAAAAAGCAGCTACATTTATACAGCAACTTTACTGTAGTAGAACATCCGAAGGTGCTTCACAGGAGTGCCATCAAACAAGACTGAATAATTGAACGAATCTTGGTATATACCAGGGATCGGTCACTGCCTCTAAAACCATGGCAGTGACTCAAAGACTTTAGCGAAGGAGATGGTGAAAAAAAAACACAAGTGATCAGTTTACCCAGTGATCTTTGAAAATCATGAAAGGGATAACAACCAAATTGGAAAGCAAATGAAGCATGGATCAGTGATTGTGGCTCCTATTCCTATTATATTTGCATGAGGAAAGGAGAATCATGAGAACACCTGCAGCTACTCCTCCGTGTCACACAGCACCCTGAGTTGGGACTACGTTGCCGTTCCTTCACTATCACTGGATTACTATCTTGGAACTTACTCATAGCACTTTTGATGCACCAACACCACGTGGTCTGCAGCGGTTCAAGAGGGATGGACAATAAATTACTGGCCTTGCCAACGACAGTCCTCATTAAAGAATAATAAAAATAACTTGGGATGTGATAATGAACACAAAATATTTCCAAATTTATAAAATTCAGTTTTCCATGCCATGCTTTTGGTCATGAGTGAGCATTCTTTATATTAAAGTAAAAGAAAAACATGAAGAATAATCCAAAAAGTCCTATACCATAAGTTAGAAAAACAAAAACAATTTAAAGTATTTTACAGACTTGTGTCTCCAACTTATAATTGTATGGTTGTACATTTATATGGGATGATCACTGGACTGAAAGATCCATTCTATATTACATTACATTAATGGTTTTAGTTTGCCATATTCTCCATCACCTGTCAAATTCCATTACAGGTAGTTCTCCAATAATGCAATAGTTGCGTTCTTGCCTAAACTTGTGCTACAGAAAATCACACTTTAGAAAGTCGCCATTGAAAATCACGTTATAGAGAAATCACTGTACCTGTACAGCGGAAGGTTCACGTTATCTAAACAGTGTTCACTATTCAATCGTATTACAGTCAACTTGCATTAATGAAACATATGTTATAGCAGAATTACGTACTTATCCCGGTATAGCAGATAAGTGAGATTCCACTACTTAATGCCTCAGTGTTGATCATACTCTTCTGAAGTTATTTTTGAAAAGGTTACTAGACATACCAAGCGCAATGCTGTTGATACGGTTTACATGGACTTTAGTAAGGCCTTTGACAATGGCCCACATGGAAGGCTGGTTCAGAAGTTAAGAGCCCATGGAATCCAAGACAATTTGGCAAAGTGGATCCAAAACTGGCTAACGAACAGGAGGCCAAGACTCATGGTGGAGGGCTGTTTTTGTAACTGGAAGCTTGTGACCAGTGGTGTACTACAGGGCTTGGTACTGGGACCCTTGCTGTTGGTAATTTACATCAACAAATTGGATGTGAACGTAGGTACATTTAATAACGAACAACAACAGAAGTTGCTGGAAAAGCTCAGCAGGTCTGGCAGCATCTGTGGAGAGAAATCAGAGTTAACGTTTCAGGTACGATGACCCTTCCTCAGGAGGCGTTTCCAGCAACTTCTATTTTTGTTTCTTTATCGTATCCACAGTTCTTTCAATTTTTACAATTAGTAAGCTTGCACATGACATGAAAATTGGTGGTGGTCTTGATAGTGAGGGTAACATTCTCAGGCTACTGACAAGCACAAGGTGATCCATTCTGGGATGTCTAATCAGGGAAAGACATGCACAATGAATGGTAGATCCCTTGGGGGTACTAAGGCACAAAGGACCTTGGTATACAAGTCCACAGATTCCTAAAGATGTCAAAGGTAGACGGGATGGTGAAGGCGGCAAATGGGATGCTTGTTTTCATTAGCTGGGGCACAGAACACAACAGCAAGTCTGGTTACAACTTCATAAAACATTTGTTTAGTCGAGATGAAATACTATGCGCAGTTCCAGCTGCCACGCTACTGGAAGGATTTGACTGCACTGGAGAGGGTGCACAGGAGATTCACCAGGATATTGCCTGGGATGAAAAATCTCAGTTATGAAGAGAGACTGGATAAGCCGGGTTTGTTCATCTTGGAGCAGAGGGAGGATCTGATTTAGGTATACAAAATCACGAGAGGCATAGACAGAGGTAGATTGTGAGAATCTCTTTCCCCACAGCAGATGTCTCTAAAGCCAGAGGGCATAAGTCTAAAGGTGAGGAGCAAGTCGTTAAATGGAGAACGGAGGAAAAGTTGTGTGTCACCCAGAGGGTGGTAGATATATGAAACATGCTGCCCAAGAGGGTGGGTGGAGACAAGTACTCTCACAACATTTAAGCAGCATGTGGGTAAGTACTTAAAATGCTAGGGCACAGTAGGCTATCGGCCAAGTGCAGGTAAATGGGATTAGTGCGGTTTAGTGTTTGTTGGTCAGCAGAGACATAGTGGGCTGAAGAGCCTGTTTCTATGCTGTGTTATTCTATGATGGTTTCGTAAAAGAGCCAAGGTAAGACCAAATGGTAACAATGAAAAGATAGTTTCAAAAAAACAAGTTAAAAAAATAGGGCAAATAACAAAAGGAGGAAATTTTTTCCTTCATTTCCTTTGGACATCAGATGAACTGTTTGAGAAAGAGTTGAGAAGGTGCCAATTTTTAAATTATCCTGGACCCCATCTCTACTGCAACACCAGTGTGCTCCAATTACAATAGAACAAAATGGCTTAATAAATTTCACTGCAGCTAGCTATCTCAGATATACCAGTGAGTGCAATTCAAATCAGCAATGTTTCTAAAATACACATCTATCCATGTTGCGTCAAAATGAGAACATGTGTTTTGTTCTCCCTTTCAAGCTAAAGCTGTAAGTAATATAGAACATCAAAGCAAGAATGGACTATTCGCATATGCGTGCATCATTAGATCACAAGCTAATTTTTTAAAAATTGTTAGGCTAAAGATAATAAAATTTACCAATGCTAGCAATATCTGAATTCCAAAATAAGGCACGATTTTCAAAAAGATCAATTCAATTAAACCTCCTTGCATATTATACATAAATGAAAGAAGTACAACAATAACTAGTGGCCAAAGAAGTCAAAAATATAAAAGCAAAATTCTGCAGATGCTGGATATCTGAAATAAACAATACTGGAGAAATTCAGCAGGTCTGGCAGCATCTGTGGAGACAGAATCAGTTAACATATTGAGTACAGTATCTTTAGAGACTCCATGTTATTTTATGAAATAATCTCAGGACCTTTGAGGTACAGCTCAATGATCATCTACTGAGCCAATGTTGGGAGAATCTAACCCAAAAAGAACTCCAAAGTAGCATTATGTTACTGGACTTGCGGAAAAGTCTGTTTTAGACAAACACATTCCAAACTGGCAAAGTGTCCTTTAGACCCCTGGTCTCACCTATCATCCTAAGTGCCATGCTATCTCCTCGCCAAAGCCCGTTTTTGTTCCATCCTCGTCTAAGCCCCATTTGCTGTGTCTCGGGGTAATGCTGGTTCAGCCACATTGCATTTTCACAGAAACTCTGTCTGCTGCATCAGCATCTGACAGCATGTTTATTCAGTTGAACTAATTCTCTTTTTAATCTATTTTCTTTAATAAGAATAATGAAAATTAATCACAAAAGACTAGTCTAACTATTGCTTATGAAATTGACTAAAACTCTTATCTTATTCTAATCCTAGATGGAACTGGCTTGCACATTAACTCAGGTCAAACCCAAACCTCCCCTAAAGAGTCGCACCAACTCAAGATGTTAACAGTTTCTTCCTCCACAGATGCTGCCAGATCTGCTGAGTTTCTCCAGCACTGTCTGTATTTATTATTGTCCAAACATTACTATTTTAAAAGATAAGCATACATTTAGAACTGAATAGCATTTGATAGTTGGAAAGATGATTTAATATTTTGGGAAATTTAAGTGAAAGAAACAAAGCACTCTGTCAAAAATACAAACTGCACAGATCTCAAAATTATTTGCGCAAATCCAAATAAGATCAATTTATGATTTCATATTTTCAATAAAAATCTTAACATTATGGACTACTCACAGGTGGCAGGATGGTATGTCCAGTAATTTCAGGTGGACGCATATTAAAACTATCATCTCCTATAGTCTCGTGTTCACCAGTAACAGGATATGGAGGAGGTGGGTATGGGGGATATTCTTCTGTTAATTCTTCTGAAGAGTGTGGGCTATCTTGACTCTGGTGCTCTTCCACAGAAGAAGTTGGTATCTGACCCTCCAGAACAGAAGAAGAATCACAAGGAGAAGATGAAACATGTTCCTCAGTGTCCAGGGCTTCAGTTTCCTTCTTCAGAATTGGTTCAGACTGATCTAGAGGAAAATTTGTTATAGCTGTAGTGTCTTCCTCTTGTTTAATACTGAGATCTGTGCTTTCATCTATAACATTCACTTCTGCAGATGAAAGAGCAGGTGGTTTTGGCTGATAGAATGGCATTGGGCTAGCAGTCTCCATAGCAGCCAGTGTCGTGCGCTGGTACAGCAGCTTCTGAATATTCGGTCCATTTGGTCCCTCTGGTTCTGTAATAGAGCTACGCTTTTTCAGTGGCCTAGGAGCATTGGACAGTTTTTTCCTTAATGCTTCCAAGTCAGCATCACTCTGATTTCGGTACGGATTGTACATGAAAGGCAGGAGCTTCGTGGGGCTCAGTGGTCGTGGAATGCGTTCAGTCTCCGAATGATCTGGTGGAGATGCAGCATTATCAGTCTCGGAATCAGGACCATCTGGTTTATCTTGGCTCTTTGAATACATACTACTAATCTCCTGGTCATTTTGATGCTGACTGCCTGTGTAATTCTGAGAGGATCCAGGAATAACTGGTTTGCCATACACTGCAATTGACAAAATAACAACACGGTACACAAATTGAGAAACAGCTGAAATTAATTTGATTCAACATTTACTGGAAATAATTTTTACTGAATAATTTTCTGCTTACAAATTAGTTGAAAAAGGGTGATACTGAAATCATCCCCATCAATCTGCTGTTTATCCAATATTACCAATATACTAAAGACAACATCTTGTTGCTCTTTACAGAAGGGAGCTAACCTGCAGCATTTCCATCATTTCCTACTTTTATATGGATATAAACATACAAAACTTTACTATAGCAAATTCTGCTTGAACATACAGCTGGCCATTCACTATAATGGCTGATCGTTCACCTCAACATCATGTTTACGTTCTCACTCCATTAACCTGTGACACCTTCAGTTCTAAAAATGGATCTACTTCTTTCTTAAATATATTCAGTGACATTTGCCTCTACAGTCTTCTGTGGTCAAAACTTTCACAGATTCATCACTCCAAGTGAAGAAATTTTTTCTCACCTCAATCCAAAATGGCCGACCACATATCCTGTGAACATAACTCCTTGTTCTGGACTCTTTGGCCAGGTAAACATCATCCTTGCATATCCTTGCTCCTAGTTCTTGTGTTCTTATGTTCTAATCAATCCAGCCCTGTCAGAATGGTGTGTTTCAATGAGATCCCCTTTCATTCTTCTAAACTCCAGCAAATACAGACCAATCGACCCAATCTCTCCTCACAGAACAGGCAAATTTGTTATCACAGGAATCGGTCTGGCAAACACTGGCCGTAAATATCTGCTTCGGTAAAGAGACCAAAATTGCACACACTACTTCTGGTGTGTGCTCTCACCAAGGCCCTGTACAACTCCAATAGAATTTCTCTGCTCCAGGCTTTGTAATGAAGGCCACCATGCTACTTGCCTTCCTAACTGCTTGCTGCATCTGCATGCTTGCTTTCAATGACTGGTGTACAAGGACACCCAGATTTATTTCTACATTAACATTTCCTAATTCATCATATTTAAGTAAGACTGCCATTTCGTTTTGCAACTGAAATGGATAACTTCAGACTTGGTCAAGTAAAACTGCATTTTCTTCTTGCTCAACTTGTCTAAACTGCCCTGAAGCCTCTTTTATGTTCTCCTCACCACTCAAACTCCCACTTAGTTTTGTGTTGTCAGCAAATTTTAAAATATTACACTCAATTCGCTCACCCAGATCTTTAATATATGTATATTGTGAATAGTTGGGGGGGCGGGGTCAAATAATCCACTTGTCACTCATTACATTCCAAAACAAACTATTCATTCCTACTGCTTCCTGTCTGCTAACCAATTCTCAATCTATGGCAGTATACGAGCATCAACACCAAGTGCTCTGATCTTGCACAACAACCTTTAATGTGGAACATCAAAAGTTTTCTGAAAATTAAAAACACCACACCCACTAGCTTTCCCTCATCTATTCGACTAGTTATAGAGTCATACAGCATGGAAACAGACCCCTCGGTCTCACTAGCCCATGCCGAACATAATCCCAAACTAAACTAGTCCCACTTGACTGCTCCTGGTCCATATCGTTCCAAACATTTTCTATTCACGTACCTGTCCAAATGTCTTTTAAACATTTAACTGTACCTGCATCCACCAATTTCCCTTGAAGTTCATTCCATATTCTAACAACTCTGTGTAAAAACATTTGCCCCTCGTGTCTTTTTTAAATCTCTCTCCTCTCACTTCAAAAATGTGCCCTCTTGTCTTGCAATCTCCCACCCAAGGGAAAAGACAATTACTGTCAACTCTATCTATACCTCTCATTATTTTATGAGCTTTTTATCAGGTCACCTCTCAACCTCCTATGCTCCAGTGACATACGTCCCAGCCTATCTTTATAACCCAAACCTTCCATACCCAGCAACATCCTGATAAATTTCTTCTGAATCCTCTCCAGCTTAATAACATCCTTCCTGGAAGTGGCTGACCAGAACTGGACACAGTATTCCAGAAGAGGCCTCACCAATGTCCGGTACAACCTCAACATGACTTCCCAACTCCTATACTCAAAGGACTGAGCAATGAAGGCAAGTGTGTCAAATGCCTTTTTAACCACCTTGTCAAATGTGACGCAAACATCAAAGAATTATGTACCTGCACCCTTAGGTTCCTCTGTTCTACAACACTACCCAAGGCCCCACCATCAATTGTACAAGCTCTACCTTTGTTTGTTAGACCAAAATGCAATACCTTGCATTTATCCAGATTGAACTTCACCTGCCATTTTTCAGACCTATTTGATCAAAATCCCTCTAATCTTAAAGAACCTTCTTCACTGTCTACTATGCCACCAATGTGGCAGCGTCCATAAACTTACTAATGAGGCCTTCTTTATTGTCATCCAAATCCTTTATATAAATGACAAACAAAACAGGACCCAGAACCGATCCCCGTGGAACACCGCCGGTCACAGGCCTCCAGCCCGAAAAGCAACCCTCCAAAATCACTGTCTCCTGCCATTAAGTGAATTATGTATCAACTGGCAAGCTCACCCTGAGTCCCGTGTGACCTAACTGTATTAATTAGTCTACCATACGGAACCTTGTCAAAGGTTTCACTAAAATCCAAATCAACAACATCTACTGCTCTGCTATCATCAATCTTTTTCGTAAAAAACTCGATCAACTTTGTGAAACACAAATTTTTCTTGCACAAAACCATGCTGGCTATCCTAAATCAACTTTACCTCTCAATGTCCATAAATCCTTTCTAATCACCTCCAACAATTTACCCACAAAGTCAGACTCACAGGTCTACTGTACCCCAGTTTCTCTTTACAACCTTTCTTAAACAAAGGTACAATATTAGCCACCCTCCAGTTACCAGGCACCTCACCCGTAGTTATAAATGATACAAATATTTCTGCAAGGGATCTCACAGTTTCTTCCCTTACTTCCTACAACATTCTATGATACATTAGATCAGGTGCTGGAGATTTATCCACCTTTATATTCTAAGACATCCCAATCTTCCTCTTCTGAAAGGTGAACGGTTTTTATAATATCAAAATTTATTTCTCTACATTCTCCAGTCTCCATTTTTCTCCATAGTAAAAACTAATGCGAAATATTCATTTAGCATCTCTCCCATCTTCTGAGGTTCAACAGGATGACTACCTTATTGAGCTTCAAGAGGCCCTACCCACCTTTTAATCACTTGCTCTTGATGTATTTGTACAATCTCTTTGGATTATCCTTAAACTTATCTGCCAATGCTATCTCATATCCCATCTTTGCATTCCTGATTTCTTTCTTAAGAATGCCCCTGCACCCTTTATATTGAATAAGATTCAATTGAACCAAGTTGTCCATAGCTAAAAGAAGATACTCTTATTCTTGACTAGAAGCTCAATACCTTTATTCATCTACTGTCCCTTAATTTTACCAGCCTTACCCTTCACTCCAACAGGAACAATGTCTGTCCGAACTCTCATCATCATACTCTTGAATGCCTCCCACATGTCAAATGTCCTTTTACCTGCAAACAGTCTGCTGCAATCAACTTTGAAAAGTTCTTGTCTGATACCATTAAAATTAGCCTTAGTCCAATTAAACACAACTTTTATGGAAGGCTTATCCTTTTCCGTAACCATTTTGAAACTAATAGAGTTATGATTGCTAAGACACAAAGTGTTCCCCCACTTTTACTTCAGTCACCTTCCCTCCCTTATTGCCCAAAAGGCCTAGTTTTGGTCCTTCTCTAGCAGGAGCATCCACATATTGATAAATGTTCTAAACAAAACTTCAGTAGGTTTGTCAAACACAATTGTTGCTCATAAATTTATGTTGGCTTTTTGCAATACCTTTGGTCTTTTTTAAATGTTATCATATCCTTTATAATCGACTCCAGCATTTTCCCCTCCTACTGATGTCAGGATAAACAGTCTGTAATCGTTTCCTCTCTCCCTCCTTTTTTTTTTTAAAAAGAAAGTGCTTTATATTTTCCACTCCTCAATCTACAAAGAATGTTCCAGAATATAAATAATTTTGGAAGGTGACAACCAATACACCAACTATTCCCATGGCCACCTCCTTTAGTACCACAGTTTGTAAATTCAGGCCCTAGGGACATATCAGCTTTCAGTTCCATTAATTTCCTCAGCACTATTTCTTTTACTAAAACTAATTTCCTTCAATTCCTCTTTTCTAAAAGACCCTCACTTCCCTATTATTTCTGGGAACTTTTGAGCCTTCTTTTGTGAAGATAGAACAGAAGTAAGTTGCTTAATTAATCTCCCATTTTCTTGTTCTCTATGAATTTTCCTATTTCAGACTGTAACCAGCCTACATTTTCCTCCACTAATAATCTTCTTACATACTTATAGATGCTCTTGCAGATTGTTTTTACGTCCTTACAAGCTTACTCTCGCAAGTTATTTTTCTCTCAAACTACCTCTTTGTCCTCCTTTACTAAATTCTAAATTGCTTCTTTTTTCTTTTGTTAACTGTGATTGGGCCACTTTTCATTTTATGTTCTTTCACCCAAAAAGAACTGTAACTGCTGTAACAAATACGTTATTCATTCGATTTTAACAATTGCCAAACCACTTCATATCTTTTAGTGAAGTTGCCTAGTCTACCGTGGCCAACTCACCTCTCATTCCTTTACAGTTTGTGTTCTTTAGGTTTTTGATCCCAGTTTTGGATAGGACTACTTCACTTTCTATCCCAATAAAAAAATTAATATACTATTGACAAGATTTCATTTTGTTTTAATGCAAATTAGCCCTACAAACACAAGATGACTGACCAAGACCAAACTGGAAATGATGATGGAACTCAGGCTGAAGGTATCTCTGTGGTAAATTCATCATAGCATCAACCCCGCTGGATGTGTGCATCTATACCCAGACTGCAAAGATTCAAATGGACATGTGGATGCAGTAGCAACAAGGAAATTACTATGAGGCTACTGTAGCCTGACAACAAACGTACTGAATAGTCTGTAGGAAATGGTAGTCCAAAGGAGATGGCTGTTAGAAATGACACGCAAGACTCAGAATTTTAGCAATAAAGCGATTGAAAGTTGAATTCTGAAGAAAGCAAAGGCCTTATTTGAGTAATTATGAATAATCGTGACATTATTCAATTAGTGGCATTAAGTTGAGAAAGGAAGAATCTTCTGGTAAACAGGATATGGAAAGCATACAACCCAGTTATACTTTCACTGGAGTTGACAACTGTTTTGGACTCATCAACAAAGATCAAAACAGCATGCATTGAAAAATGTAACAAACATAATGCAACCCGCACTGCGCAGTTTTAAAGCAGCATAAAACTTGCTCAATTCAAATTGAAAGTGTTTAATTTTTCTGATACATGAAATCATTCGAAACTCAACTATTATGAATACACTGGTCTAATCTGTTTTCCTACTAGTCCTGGAGGGAGTTATTTTAGTAATTTGAAAATTTGTTTTGATTAGAAGTGTACATTTTTGCACAAAGTTTGAGTTTTAGAAGCTGTAAAGTCTGTTGAAAAGATTTTCCTATGAGTTCAGGTGACTTTAAGAAAAGCAACTGCGGAAAGTTGGCTGTCCAAGCTTTAATTGAACAAAACGAGTTAGCAGTGGACTAAAAGCTGCAGTTCCATTCTGCAAAAAAGGTGTCTCTCACAATGTATTTCCCAAAATAGCATCGAGATTATGAGCTACGGCCTTGCATTATACTGCTATGATGAGGATATTCCACTTACAAAGCAAGTTACAAAGAAAACAAAAGCATGCTGACAAAAAATTACCCCAATGGTATATCTAATGGTGACTTTGATAGGCACCTGTGTGAAAATGTAGGGTGGATAAGAGAATGGTATTATTGACTGAGAAAAATACTAGAGCTGAAGTAAACAGTCTGCAAGGCGTGTCCACAAGGCTAGAAGACAGAAAGAAAACAAGAGATAAACGGAAGATTGTGGAGGGATTGCAGGATATGTCAAATTCAATGTATTGAGGACAGGGAACCAACCTTATGTCAGTGAGCATGAAAATTACGCACCATTAGGTTTTAATCCAGGACAGTAACCAGGCAGCTGATTTTTGGCTAAGATCAAATTTATTAAGGGTGGGAGAAAAGGTCATCTGTTGAATATGAAGGTTCCAGGCAGACTCATTCAGTCTGGCTAAATTTTAGGAGGGGAATTAAATCATCAAGTCTTTAAAGTCAAAAAAATCAAAAATGGTCTTCCCAATATTTAGATGGAGGAAATTTTGAGGCATCTTAAATTAGATTTGGGAATCAGAGTCTGGCAAAACAACAGTCATGCTTGTTTGTGGAGGGGCTGTGCAACACAGCATCCTAGAGCCATTGGATGGAAAGGGAGTCTTAGAGAAAGTTGCTCTGCATATGGAGTCCAAACATTATGTGCAGTCTGCCATATAGAAGTGAAAATTATCTGACAAACTCACCTTAACATTTCCACAATTCAAATCTGAGCAGTGTACAGTATAGGGATATTAAAAAACTTTTTTAAAAGAATTTCTATCTTACGGGGAGATTTTCACTTCACTATTTATTTCCTTAGTCCAAAGAGGTTTTGAATCTACAAACTCTGTTCTGAGGAAGGGTCACTGGACCCGAAATGTTAACTCTGTTTTTTCCCTTCACAGATGCTGCTAGACCTGTTGGGCTTTTCCAGCAACTTTGTTTTTGTTCCTGATTTACAGCATCTGCAGTTCTTTCGGTTTCTACAAACTCAGTTATTGGACATGAGCTACAAAAACTGTCGGAGTACAATAACAAGAAAAATATCACTTGACTGTCTTCCCAATCAGGAAGTATCAATCCCCAGCACTATCAGTGAACATGAAGACACAAACTACACGTCTCCTAGGACAAAAATCAATAGTTTAGGGCAAAAATCAATGGTTTAGAACTAACAACTTTGGAAATGGGAGAAGGGAACATTACATGCTAGTGCACTGCACCTCTCAAACCAGATTACAATGGAATGATCAAAACAACAATATCTAGAACTTCAATTCAAAACAGCCAATATTTCTCATATTAAATGAAATCTTCCTTACCGCTTGTGAATTGAGGCCGTGTCTGCACTTTGGTCAATGCACTCTGAACAGCCTGTTGGAAGTTTTTGCCAGGTGCCTGTTGTTGTGTGTACATCGTGTAAATAGAACTAGCAGCCACCGTTTCTGGTTTTTTCAGGGGTTGGGGTGGAGGCTCTTTAGATGGTTGCGGGGTGAAAGGTCGTACGGTAGCTGCAGGAGGTGCCTCTGGAGAAGGATGAATTTGCACATTTGAAGCACAGTGCTGTGGTCCTGAAGTTTGGGTTGGCTTCAGTTTATTGACGAAGGTTCCGACATTCCCAGGTAACTTTGGTGTGATGGATTCTGGCTTATTCTCTGCTATTGCAGCTAAATTAGATGGTCCAAAATAAGGTAAGGAAATCTGTTTTGGTTTAGAAGGGACAGGGGGTGGTACTTTAACCACATTCTTGTTAGCTGCCTGAAAGTCAAAATTGAATAAAATTAGTTCACATAAAAATAGAACTTAAAACATTTTGATAAATGAGGATCTGGATTATTTCATATTTTTATTGAACTTCCAAACCTTGCAGTTAGAACCAAATCATTTTGCTTCTCACAAATTAGACACTTAATGTGCCAGAAAAATCGTCTCCTGGTCATAGACCCGCCCCTTAAGCCACTTAACAGGTTGAACCAGAACACCAAACTTGTGGTCTTGTTTAACCTCACCTCCTACCATCCCCAGTGTAAAGAGACCATAGGAGGTAGGAGCAGAATTAGACCATTCAGCCCATCAAGTCAGCTTTGCCATTTGATCATGGCTGATATGCTTCTCAACCCCATTCTCCTGCCTTCTCCCCGTAACCCTTGATCATCTTACTGAATAAGAACATATTTATCTCTGTCTTAAATGCACTCAATGACTTGGACTCCATAGCCTTCTGTGACAATGAGACTCACAGATTCACCATTCTCTGGCTGAAGAAATTCCTCATCTCAGTTCTAAAGGGTCATCCCTTCACTATGAGGCCGAGTCCTCGAGTCCTAGTTTCTCCTACCATTGGAAACATCTCCACGTCCACTCTAATCAGCCCTCTCAGTATTCTGTAAATTACAATGAAATGGCCCCTCATTCTTCTAAACTCCATTGAGTTCAGATACAGAGTCCTCAACAGTCCTCAGATGACTAGCCCTTTATTCCCATGATCATTTCTGCAAACCTCCTCTGGACCCCAACCAAGACCAACACATCCTTCCTTAGATACGGGGCTCAAAGTCAAAGTCAGAGTCCCTACATTGTGGAAGCAGGCCATTCAGCCCTTCAAGTCAGCCCTCCAAACAGCAGCCCACCTAGACCCATCCTATCCCTGTAATCCTGCATTTCCCATGGCTAATCTACCTACCCTACACATCTTGGGACAAAACTCCAAATGCAGTCTGACCATAGCCTTGTACAGCCTCAGCAGCACATCCCTGCTCTTGTACTTTAGACATCTCAAAATGAATTCTAACATTGCATTTGCCTTCCTACCTGCCAACTGGTCCTGCATGTTAACCTTAAAAGAATCTTGAACTAAGGCTCACAAAACTCTGTGCTTCAGATTTCCAAAGCCCATTTAGAAAATAACCTATGCCTCTATTCTTCCTCATGCATAACCTCTCACTTTCCACATGGCATTCCATCTGCCGCTTTTTTTGCCTGCTCTTCTCGTGGCCTCCCTGCTTCCTCAACACTACCTATCCCTCCACCTGTCTTTGTGTCACGTGCAAACTTAGCAACAATGCACTCAGCTCCTTCATCCAGATGTTTAATATGTAATATGAATAGTTGTGGTCCCAAAACTGACCCTTGTGCAACACCATTAGAACACATCTCTCCAACCCTACCCTTACCTCAAGCCTTCTACTGTTGGAACCCTTTTGTCACTGTCATGTTAAATTAATTCAGCGGGATGGCGGGGTTGGTACTGAAATGAAAAATGGAGCCGTTTTATAGAATACCTCTTCAGTCTTCTGAGTGACCCTGAGCTTCGACCATCTATTACTTTCGTTCTCCATCTTACTCCTGTCTCACACATTGGTCTTCCACAATGTTCCAGTGAGGTTCAATGCAATCTGAAGGATTTGCACTTCATTTTGTCAATGTACTTCACAGTTCAAAAATTTCAGATAACAACTGACCCCAGTTTTTCTGACTGCAACTGCTGGTAATGAATTAACTCTTTCCAGTTACACTCGCTCTTTTGTTGGTCGTTAATCCCATGAAAAGACACAGCAAGGATGACTCAGGCATGTTCCCATCATTACAGCTTATATTCAGAAGAAGCCAGAAAAGTAAAAAGAAAAGTTGTTTAATGTGAAAGGGCAAAAAACAAAAATCAGCCAGGAGTAAGGCAGTGTTCAAAATACCTAGAGATGCTGTGCCAATTTGCCAAAATGCTACTGCAAAAATCAATCTGTGGCAATCAATCAGAAAAGAAGTCATCACTTGCATAGCGGGGCCTACAGGGCCAGTAATAAAATACTCCCTCAGTCATAAGCTGGAGTGAGGCAATAGAAGGAGAAAGTATCAGAGTAGGGTGTGAGAAGGAAGGCAATATCGGAGCAGGAAAGGGAACAGGTGATGGCTTTTGGGAAAGGAGGGGGGAGAAGGAGGGGGAGAAATAGCAGAGAATTTAAAAATGCTTCACATCAAGATCTGTCATTTGTACTGCACAATGTGATTGATGACGAATGATGCAAATTTTAAAAATTACATTACACTATAAAACAGAGAGTTTAACAACATTAATATTTATACCTGAATTTCCCGCAGAAGGTCCTCACTGCTCTGGTTTTTCCTTAATGTTCCAGTGCATGGAATTCCTGTAGGCGGATCCATGGATTCAAACATGGAGAAACAACGCACTCTCTTATCATTCTTGTCTCTCATCACAACATCACCATCACCTACTGTTAAAGTCACATATAAAAATTCAGCTCAACTATTTATTTCAGTTGTGCTTCAATATTAAACAGAAGTAATAACGATAAGTGCAATGAATAGCTGTGGCAAAAACAAGACTTCTATCTGAATTGCATTTTTAAACTTCTACTTTGAATTGCCAGCAAGTTCACACAATTTTACATAATAAATTACATAGGCAAACTTGACATTAGGTAACAATGGCATTGTTTAAATAAGAGGTATAGTTAAGGTTGTGATTTGATTGAATGCTTTGATTGGCGATAACTGAGTATGGGATATGCTCATTGGTTGGCTGTAGACCCCTTTGATCAGCCATGCCTAAATAAACTCCTCATTAAAGTCTACATTGAGAGAAGATGATAATGGTTTATTATTTTATGTATCAAGAGTCAACATTGTATACCATTTACTGTCTATTGAACTATTTATATATATGTATGACACTATTTGTTGATTCAAAGTTTGACACTCAGTCTGCTCCAAGTTATAGCTAGTCCTCCTCTGGATCAGATGATCATTTCACATGTTACCATACATTTTAGTAGCTGGTATAGACAAAGGGGTTCCACTAAGATTGCTGCATCTATTTAGATTGAGAATGGACAAAGGTGAACTCCAGACCATGAGGAACACTTGGGCCACTTGCAGGAATAGCACGTGGAGCCAGATACTGTAAAACATGTGGTGCAAACATCAAAAAAACTGATGCAGGTCCAGAAATACCAGAATCTGCTACCAGATTCAAATTATAACAGGAATATTTTAAGCTTCTAATAAACATACATGTTAGTCACTTGCACCTGCATCATAATTTAATAAGACATTGGCTTCTTAGCTTACTCCACACTCCCACCTATAACAGATAACCTCTTATCCCCTTGCTCATCACGAACCTGTCTACCTTTGCCTTAAAAATATTTTAACACTTTCTCAAAACATGTAAGCAGAATTCCAACAGACTCATGACTCTCAAAGAAACAGTTTCTCATCTGTCTCAAATTTTTCTTGCAGTAACTTCCTTGTCTGATTCCCAGAGCTTCTCACAATAGTCGAAGTGCGAAGCCACTAATAGCATACCTGTGTCCTGATATCATGACACAAGGCATACGACTTGTTTTGCTTCAATCAAGATTTTAAATGAACCAGGTGAAGAAAGTGGGAGCTTTTTCACTTGAACAATGCTAGGACATGCCTTGAAGTGTTGCATAACTAGGACAATTGAGAGGGCTTTCAAACAAATAGTGGGGGTGAGGGACCATGTTTGGGCAGAAAAAAAAATGAACTAAATAGGGAAGACAAAGCAAGGCAGCAATCAGGAAAATGATGATCAGAACCTAGCAGGAGGAAGAAGAGTGCAAAAACCAAAGATTGGACCAACAGATAAGAAAGTATATTACAACAAGAAATCCAGATCCGGTGGATTAGGAAACTGACCCAAAAATTGCTGACAAAAAGGATGACAATGTAGTCATATTTTTAGCATGTACTAGAACAAATGGGCCATGGAGTATGTAATGTTAGTGGATCAGTCTTCTGGGCATCTTCACTCAAGTGTTTCCGTAGGCAAGGAGGATAATTATTTTGGT